GGTGGGCCCTCTTCTTTCTCAGGCCTACCTCATCGTCGGTTTCGGCACACCACAACCGACTTTCTCCTTTTATCATCCTACGCTTATTCATGGTATTTCACACTGTACTATCTTAAGCACCTAACACAAATATATATATACACACATGTACACACACACACACACACACATACACACACACATATCTACACACGTATTGTGTGTTTGTGTGTGCATATATATATATATATATCTTTATATATACATACACACACACATATACACACACGTAATATATATATATATAAAATTAATATAAAAATTAAAACAAAACATTTATAAATAATAAATAAAAACGCTAACTTTGGCCAGCATTTGTGGCTACGTGGCTACTACAAAAGACTGGAAATACCCCATTTGGAATACCCTGAGTTGTCTACATTTGAAAATAGAATGCCATGATGGGGTTATTTCACATTCCTGGGCTACCATATGGTCTCAAAAGGCAACACAGACCCAGCAAACCAATCTGGCAAATTTCAATGTGCCAACATGGAAAAGCCCTACATTTGACCTCTGAATGTTTGCAAAAACCCATTAAAACTGTACATTGGGGGCACTGTTGTACTCGGGAGATGTTGCTGAACACATATTGGGGTTTACAACAGAAAAACTTATCACGACGATGAAATCACCAGTAAAAGTGCAGTTTTTGTGTAAAAAAAAAATATGCAAAAAACAAATATGAACAGTAACTTTGGCAAGCGTTTGTGCTAAGTGGCTACTACAAAATACTGGACATACCCCATTTTGAATACCGTGGGTACCGTGGCAAATTTCAATGTGCCAACATAGAAAAGCCCTTCATTTGACCCCTGAACGTTTGCAAAAACCCATAAAACCTGTGCATTGGGGGCACTGTTGTACTCAGGAGATGTTGCTGAACACACATTGGGGTGTTCTTTGTCAGTAATACATAACAGGAACTGAGCATTCATGCCTAAAGTACGTTGTGAGAGAAAAATAACACAACAAAATGACTACCCAAAAGGTTGACAAAGACTGGTGGTAGAATTAGTGCATGGAAAGTGTTAAAATACCACCATTTGAAATACCCTAGGATGTCTTCTTTTCAAAAATATGTGGTTATATGGGGGTAAATTACATTGGCCGGCTTCAAAAATCCCAAATAGGACATGGGTGCATGATGACCAGCTGTGAAAATTCCAAGTTGGAAAACTGGAATGCGCATCCTCCAAATAAGATCTTTTAGAATGGTTTCGGAATAGCAAAGTGCTACTTGTACTTATTGCCCTATAACTTGCAAAAAGAAGCTAAGAACATGTTAACACTGGGTATTTCTAAACTCAGGACAAAATTTAGAAACTATTTAGCACAGGTGTTTTTTGGCAATTGTAGATGTGTAACAGATTTTGGGGGTCAAAGTTCAAAAAAGTGTGTTTTTTTTTTTACATTTTTTCATCATATTTTATATATTTTTTTATAGTAAAATTATTTGATATGATAAAAATAATGTTATCTTTAGAAAGACCATTTAACGGCAAGGAAAATGGTATATAATATGTGTGGGTACAGTAAATGAGGAAAATTACAGCTAAACACAAACACCGCAGAAATGTTAAAAGAGCCCTGGTCCTTAACGGTAAGAAAATTTTAAAATGGTCTGGTCACTAAGGGGTTGAAGCCAGTAAGACAGAATAGAATGTCCTAATATTCTGGTGTGAGCAGCATTAAATCCCTGTTCACAACAGGGTTATCCAGGTTTTAATTCCTAGGGCTCCCCTTTGTCAGTTGGGGCCATATGTAGTTACCCAAGACTAATACATGAGCTTATGCAGGCCTTTACACAAGATTTAAATCCCTGAAGCGTTGCAGTCACAGTCACAGTGATTCTGAGAATGGCTACCGAGAAAAAGAGACACTGAGGGTCTGAAAATGCGGTCTCTCTGCATGGACCTCTGTCGATTGTGATTGGTGTTAGGCTTTGCCAGCTACCAAGCACTGATCAATGTGATCAGCATGAAGATTTCCCGCTTCTGACGATAACAGCCTTTTAATTACGTTTGGCTTTACCCACCCATCCACTCTGGTTTCTTCTAACTATATAGCATGCTCTTCCAGCTATTTGGAACCATAGCCAATCACCTCTTCATTCCCTTCACATGCTATCAGATGCTGCAGTTATACTATTAAAGGACCACTATAGGCACCCAGAGCACTTCAGCTTAATGAGTTCCTGGTGCCTGGTCCATCTAGGGTTAACCCTTTTTTCTATAAACATAGCAGTTTCAGAGAATTGTGAATGCTTTCCTATGGCCTGGCTCAATGCGCGCGCGGCTCCTGCCGCGCATGCGCATTCAGTCGAAGAGGAGGCGGAGAGGAGGAGAAGAGCTCCCCGCCTGGCGCTGGAGAAAGAGGTACGTTTAACCCCTTCCTCTACATCCAGCCCGGCAGGAGGGGGCCCTGAGGGTGAGGGCACCCTCAGGGCACTATAGTGCCAGGAAAACAAGTATGTTTTCTTGGCACTATAGGGGTCCTTTAACTCTCTCTGCTATCACATACAAATCCCTCTGCTACCTCTTGTCTCATCTCCCCAGTTTAACCTTTAGATTGTAAGCTCATGGGCAGGGTCCTCTACCTGTTGTATCGGTCTGTTATTCTTGTTTTTGTCTTTTTCCCCAATTCTACAGCGCTGCGGAATTTGTCGGCGCTTTATAAATGCTAGTAATAATAAGAATAATAATAACAGACCACTCTCTACTTTTTTACCTGGGAAATGTCTCTGCTGTAACTAAGAGGGAATCCTCTTAGTTGGTGTAGGGGTAAAGTAGGGTTTGTGGTAGGCTAAAGTAAGGTTAATGCTTGGTTAGGGTTAAGGTTTTTTTATGGTTATGAATAGTGTAGGGTTAATCCAGCGTCAGTGAAAGCCTCGGTATCGGGTTAGTGTTCACTACCAAAAATTAATTTAGATCCTAGACATATGAGGCAATAAACAATCAATACTCATTCGTAAATCCTAGTTATTTTTAACATTGTATTCATACTTAAAGGACCACTGTAGGCACCCAGACCACTTCAGCTCAATGAAGTGGTCTGGTTGCTGGGTCCCCCTGGTTTTAACCCTGCAGCTGTAAACATAGCAGTTTCAGAGAAACTGTTATGTATACATTAGGGTTAATCCAGCCTCTAGTGGCTGTCTCACTCTTCTGTCACTTAACTGATTCCAGCGCCGATGTCCCTCTGGGCTGGGTCAGGCTTCGCCTCTGCCAGAGGGGGACTAATTGCATGCACAGTGAGCGCTGCAGTGGCATTCAGATCTACCCCATAGGAAAGCATTGCTCAATGCTTTCATATGAGGTTTTAGAGGATGCTAGATGTCCTCATGCAGAGCCTGAGGACATCCAGTATCAATTAGCAAACCAAAAGTTAGCTAAGGACCCAGAAGTGTGTTCTAGTAGCTGTCCGCTATACAGCTACTAGAGGTTGCATTAGCCCTGCAAGGTAATTATTGCAGTTTATACCCATTGTACAGCGCTATGGAATTTGTTGGCGCTATATAAATAATAAAATAATAATAATAATAATCAGTAACTGCAATAATTACAATTGCAGGGTTAATGGGATTGGCATAGTGCACCCTGACCACTTCAATAAGCAGAAGTGGTCTGGGTGCCTATAGTGTTCCTTTAATGGATTAGGAGGGAACATAACGGCACTTGTTTTATTTCATAAATAGCTCAGTTGAAATAGTTTAGGGATTATTTGGGAATTCTTTTGGGAACAGGGGCGGGCTGGGCCGGGGAGCAGGGAGGCAATTGCCCCCCAGGCCGCCCTAAATCGTTTGCAAAACGGCCGCTGCAGGGCCGGCTGGTCCTGGGCGCCTGGAGAAGGGAGGTGCCGCGTGGAGCAGGCTGATGGCCTGTTACAGGGAGCCCAGCAGGTGGCCAGCTGGCCACCTAGGGTGCCCCGGTAGCAAGGCAGAGTAGGGACCTGCTTGTCCCAGACAGCAGGTGCCTACCCTGCAGGAATATACCGGCCGTGTGAGGAAGGAGGCAGGCGGCGAGGGAGCACTGCCTCTGCTGATGATCTTCCTGCTCCCTCACGCGCCCTCTCTGGTGATGCCGGGAGCTGGAATAAGATGTCATTCCGGCCCCGCATCACTAAACTGCACGAGGGAGCAGAGAGGAGCAGGAAGTCACTGGACCCCGGGGCAAGGACCCAGAGGACTCCTAAAGTTAGAAGCAACAAGGAATTTGTGTGTGTGTGTGTGAGTGTGTGTCTGGAAGTGAGTGTGTGTGTGTGTGTCTGGAAGTGAGTGTGTGTCTGGAAGTGAGTGAGTGTGTGTGTGTCTGGAAGTGAGTGTGTGTCTGGAAGTGAGTGTGTGTGTGTGTGTGTGTGGAAGTGTGTGTGTGTCTGGAAGTGTGAGTGTGTGTCTGTGTGTGTGTCTGGAAGTGAGTGTGTGTGTATCTGTGTGGGTGGAAGTGTGTGTGTGTGTGCACGTCTGGAGGTGAGTGTGTGTCTGGAAGTGAGTGTGTGTGAGTGTGTGTTTGGAAGTGAGTGTGTGTGTGTGTGTCTGGAAGTGTGTGTGTGTGTGTCTGGAAGTGAGTGTGCCTGTGTG